CCTATACCTGCCCTTTCATTCTCCTCTTTTCTTATGAATTTTCTTCATTATTGATAAGAAAAAAGCTTTTTTCTCTTTAGTTAACAAAAAAAAAAAAAAAAAAAAAAAAAAAAAAAAAAAAAAAATCTTTGTAATGAGATGCATTTGTAAATTAAAATGATTAGATTGCAGTAGTCAGATTGTATTTGTCTTCTGGCTAAATTACTTCTTTTATTTTTATTTTTTTAATGGTTACTGATAAATGGAAGTCAGTCAGATCTTTGTGATCTTCATCAGAACATGATATTTCGATTAACAAAGTAGTACCCTTTCCTTCCAAACAACATTTGTTTGCTGTTCTCCTGTTTTATTTCATTACTATGATCTGGTATCTAAAATCAGATTTTTAAATAAATCACTGATTCTATGCAGGGGAAGGAGCTCATCTCAAGTAAGCTTACAGACATCAGGCAAGTTGCGGCAAAATCAGTCCCCCTTCTCTTCTTCCCCTCCTTTATTAAAGTGCCTTTAATTCATGCTGCAAGTTTAGTAGATGCAAGTGCTAATTTGTTGTTAGCTGTGTTTGGTTGTGGAGCAGGGGAACCGGGAAATCCCATTTCATCAGGGAAAACTGTCTCATATGTATTGTGCCATGTCACTTGTTTGTAATTCTAAGTGTAGCAGCATAATGATTGGTTACAGAAGCACTGGCTGGCTGGAAACCTGCATCCTAATTCACAAAAGGTGAAAGAAAAGCAAGAATTTTTGCTTTTGTAGCCAGGTCTATTCTCATTGTCTGCCTTTACTTATATTTCTAGTTTCATTCTTTATCCCTTTTTTTTCAAACTTTGTCTCTTTCTTTTACTAGCAACTTTTTTGTATGGTTCCAGAGTTCATGATAAAGCAGATACGTTATAAATAAGTTGCTTCATTCCTAGAACAGAGTGTTCAAAGATTTGGTATACTGTTGCTTCCGGTAATATCTTCTGCTACCATGAGGTTCTCAAAGACATCATAGTGAAATTAAAGCCTCATTGTGCTTGGTACTGTGCAAATTTATGGGAAGAAACATTCCCTCTGGAGTAGTGTTTGATGCTCTCTACAAGCATATAATAAATTCAACCCACAATGAATACTTTTTTTTTTTTTTTCCTGTTAATATGGCTATGTGTCTCTTCACATGTGAATATGTGATTAATGTACATAAATTAATATTTCATCCATAAATGAGTTTCTAATTATATCTACTTTATTTATCTGTTTATTTATATTTATAATGCTGAGCAGGTCTGTGGAATATATCTATACGTTTTATCTCAAATGAGAACAAATCTAGATGGTCTTATACACTGAAAGCCTAGAGATGTGAGCTACTGTAGCCAGTATTAGGGAGTGAATTGACAAGCTGCTCTCCTACTGGTAGAAATACTCTTAGGTAAAGTTTCAAATACGTAGAAATTATTGAAGGCTCTTGCCATTGTGTTTCTGGCTAAGATACATGTGCCCACGTGATTCAGGATTAGTCCTTAAACTAAACAGAAGCTTGTGCAAACTTTTATATAATTTCCTAGAATTATAATAATCAGGTTCAAATATAGTTAAGCCTTGACTACAGGTGCATTTAGTAATAGTAAACAAAGATTTCCCTCAGTGGCTTTGTATTTGAATTAAATATATTTAGCTAAGGAAATCTCCCTCTGTATGTGTGCACTGAAACAATTTTATTTGCCATGTCACTTACTATAAGTGTTTTGCATATCTGTTAAACTCTTCTCAGGAAGCTGCTAAAATGCTGCTATTTTTCCTGTATTGTAAAATTTGTCACAATAATATATTGATGACTGCTACTGTTACTGCTATGTATAGGTGTGTAAAGAATTGACGCATGTCGTAGAAATAACAATGATCTCTCACATATCAAGGAGAAATGTTACTAGAGAAATATCTGGATCCAAATACAAGTTATGTTACGTGACAAAAATAGAAGAATATAAAGTATTAACAAGCATTGAGGTTATTCCATTATAGCCAATATAGCATAATATCATGCTATATCTTACTCTTCAAGAGAACGTATAATTTCCTAATTCCCACAAAATCTACAGGCTAATGTTCAGACAGATAGAGACTTCAATTTAGCAAATTTTTGGTTATGTGCATAACTAAACCTGTGAGTAACTTTATAGGCCTTGTAACTTCTATGCTTTGTACTATGTACTATGGCTGGAATGCTTGCAGAAATAAGTGCTTCTAGTAATAATACTATTAGAATTTATTCACTAAGCTATTTGGAGACCTGTACATATAACACTGAAGCTACTTCTTATTTTAACCAGCTTTTTGTAATTACCTTCTGCATTGCAACATGAACTTCATATGTCACCAATACTCGAAGACACAATTGTCACATGCCAGTGCAATCGCTGTCAAAATATTCTTGTGAATATCGAGAGTAATGTAATCTATACAAATCTCTTTGGAAAATATTTGGGGCCAAATGTCTTCCTGCAGTAGGGAAAACAAATTGTCATTCTGCTGGTGCACAGGTTTAATCAGAAACGTGATTCAGAGTTCCAGGCAATGTTTGTACAAAACAATCCTAACCCTGGATGATATTCCATAGAATTAAAGTTGCTCTAACTGAATACTTAGCTCAAAGGTAATGAAACTGTTCCATATTTGACAGGGAATTATATACTATACGTAAAATTGCAGCAAAACACCAATAAACAAACCTTTCCATTCTTGCTTTTCCTAAAATTTGAAATAAAGCTCAATTGCCCCTTCACTCCAATCTGCTTTTTAGAAGCTCTTGTTTTGCTCAGTCAGTGGTTTATTGCTGAAAAGGCAAAGTCTCTTCCAGTAATTTTAGGAAAAGCTATCATCAAGCTGTCAACAGTCTAAATTGAGATTAAAAGTATCAAAGAGAAACCTTCACTATTATCAAAGTCCCAGCTAAGTACACTTGAATAGGCAGATAACATCTAGGGTGTACAGTATGTGACCACTTATTCCTCCAGTTTTTGAAATGATTTACAGGGATGAAGTCTTATGCTAAATAGGTAGTGACATTTTTATTCTTGTCTTACCCAGAATTTCCAGACCAAAAGAAAACAGAGAGCTGTGAACACATACCTGCTCCTGGAACTTATTTCAGGTGTCATATTGCTGGATGTTAGAGGCATCCATCTCACCCTGTGAGGTATTAGATATCCTCAGATTATATTGGTTGTCACAGATAAGATCTCCAATCCCTTGTTTGTCCAGTGTGGGTAGGGCTGTATGTTTACAGTTCACTAAAATCAAGAGATCATTCACTTTGTCTGAAAGCAAAAGTTGTATTTACAGTATTACCTCTCTGAAAAGGAGAGTGCACAGTCACTGGTAAGAAAGTGAGCAGAGGATTTTCTAGAGCACTCTTCATACCTCATACATAGCATCATTGCTGTTTTGGCAAACCTGTCTGTTTTAACACATGATGTGTTCTCCTATTATATCCTGATTTTTGCCAAGGACTAAAATAGGACTGTATGGTCTGACAAACCTGTCTAAAATTCAAAGCTGGCCTTTGAAAACAAAAGCTTAGTATACAAATCTACTCAGTCACTTACCCTTGCACATTTTAATGTACTACAATCTGTACAGCTATAACAAAGATTTCTAAGTTCTCAAACAAAATATTGGAGATTTTCATCGTTTTGGACTTCTCCATGTTGTTCTCAAGTTTAGTTTGGTTAGAAGCTTTTTTTTTCCCAACGACATTTTAGCCCTATCTTATGCTTTCATCTTAACTAGCCTTTGTAAATCTGGTTTTGAATTCATTTCATATACACAATTAATTAAAAATAATAAGAAATTTATGTGAATTGCTTTGAGTGACTTTGCAATTTGTAAGCCAAAATAACATATAGGAATAACAGGAATAGAAGGTAACTATTCTAAGATTCCTCTTAAAAATTGTTATGAAATTCAGGAGTTTAGTTTTTGTGTTTTTTTTTTTTTTTTTTTTTTTTAATTTCCTTTATCTTTTCTATCAAATATTATCATATAACTTTTAGTAGACGTTGTTTCTGAATGAAGCTGGGCATGTCGCTACCATGCTATCTATCCAACTCAAACTAAATTTTTAAAATACTATCAAGATGATTCCTGTTCATCAACAAGATCCATTATTTTCATATCAGCCAAGAATGAGATTTCACAGCTCAATAACTAAAAAGCAAGTTGGTAAACATGGCTTTCCTTGGCTTTATGTTGCTCTTCAGATGAAATCTTCTTCAACCAGATTAAGACTGGTTTACAGAAAACAATAACTGTGGTTTAATGTTTTCAATTCAGAATCATAGGATCTTGAAATTTTTCTTTATTATGGGGGAAAAAATGAGTTTCTTTTCTTCTCCCTTAACATTTTCTTTTAAGGATTCTCAGTAAGTCTTCTTGATATTTCTTTAAGTGTTTTAGAAATATGACATGGGTTTTACCTGTTCATTATTAATCTAGATACTTGTACAACTTTTGAACGTTATATGCATCATTCTTAAGAGATCCCTTTGCTTAGCTTACAGAACAGTGGAATTTTGAAATCTAGTTTTTGCTTTGTTTTGAAAAGTATAGCATCTTATTCCAGCTTTCTATTTTCTATCTTCTTTTCTTTTTGCTTGTGAACGTGTAAATTCCTTCAGGTAAAAATTTTTCTATTTCACTAAAAGGAATGTGTTTAATGCTGCCCAAAGTTTTCCTGGTTAACTTGGTAATTCTGTAAAGCTGTGAACTGTATGGCAATATTTTCTAGCAATGAAATTTAATATAATATTGCAAACTTCTGAGTGCAGCTTCCTTGCAAGATTGAAACTGGTTTTAATGAAAACAAATTAAGCTTTCTTTCAATTCTCAGTAGTCTTCCATGATTGGTGATTTTGTGCACCTGTATGTACATCAGAATACTCATTTACAGGTGAATTGTCTCTGTTTACTCAATGACCTTTGCTCAAAACACTGATAGTATTTGTTTTATCACACAGGCCTCCAGCGATGCTGCCTCAATCTCTCCAGAGATGAGCTATACACCTCTACCTTCAGGATCCAGAGACCTCACCAATCACAGAGGTAAAAGCTAAACTTTATTGACATGGATTCCTTTAAGTTGGTAAACTTCACAGTGAGGCCCTCTATGTATTAGTTACTGCTCTATTGGTGCTTTACTAGAAAGGCACTGTGTTCTCTGTAATATATGAGAAAACCATACATTTCAAGATTACAGATTTTAAGTCATATTAAAGAGGAGTTAAAGGAAGTCTACTGGGAAAACAAATCTATAGATAATAACATTCAGTGGTGGTTTTTTTTGTGTGTGTGAGAAAAAACATCAAGAGGTTAAAGTACTTACATGTTGCTAAGTAGATGATTACATGCAGAGTTTGTAATTTTGAGAGAATTTGTGAAGTTTCTAATATTTGTAAAGAGACAGCTTTTTGGCATTTTAACAATTTAGGGCCATAATTTTGAAACATTAACATGTTTTCATTGCAATAAAATGGGATTCATTCTTCTCTGTTTTTAAGCCATAAAGGCAGATCAGTGTTCTATTTCCTTTTTCACCAGTAATTACAGCTTAAAAAGCACCTCGCACAAACTCTTGAATTCCTTCTGCATACCTATGGAGCACAAAGTTCAGGGAGCAGGTGAAAAACTGGAGCAGTCAGGAGGAGCACATTCCAAGCTCTTTCTCGTTTTTTCTGAAAAAGAAGAAATGTGTATATAGCTTGCAACGTTTTTCAGCTTGAAACCAGAGCCACAACACTCAGTGTTTTCCACACTGCACATTTGATTAGATGGAGACTTTAATATTTCAAGTGTTTTTCAAATTGAGACTGCATAAATGATACGTGTAGAGGTAATTTTTATACTAGGATATCAGAATCGAAGTCAAACCTGTGTTTTATTAATTAATGGTAACTAGATTTTAGTGCGTTTTCACATTCTACAGCATTCTAGATTAAGTTAGCATTAGCAGATGGCTAATTATTTGAAAATTTGAGAAAGAACCAAGTCAGACAATGACTCAGATGGGAAGGGTGAGGAAAGTAACTGATTAGAAAGTAACTTGTGCCAGAGCTTAGATAGCTACCAGGCTATTTCCTGGTATTCGTGTAGGTTGATATGGTGTATGGGAAATCAGATGTCCTGAAGGTGCTGTAGTGTGTTGTGTTCTGCCAGAGATCAGGAACAAGAGGAAGAACTGAACCCAAATCCTGCAAATCATAAGCCTTCGCTGTCCTACCCCTCCCCCCCACCATAAATACATATATAAATAAAAATCCCAAGGAATATGCATGCAGTGGCTTTGATTTCAAGTGATTTCTGGTAAGCATATCTACTTTGAGGTTGGATTTCTGCTGTTAGATTAAAGAGGTAGTAAGTAGACAATAAGTAGGACTAAAGAGTGTTATAAGGATCTATACAAATTAATTAAAATATATAATAATAATAAATATTAAGATGCATGTATCCTCAGACCTGTTTATTTAGATAATGACAAATTAGAGATGTGGCTTCATGGCTGGCTTTACCATAGAGATGCAGCAGCTTTATGTATCAGAAGTTGTCTGATAGGGGATTGTCTTCTGTAGCACTGTAGCAACATTGTTGCTCTAGTAGGTACTACCTGTGTCTATGGGTCTGTTTGGGTCTAGAGCTTATTGTTGTCTTCTCAAGGGTTTGAGAGTGCCTACTCTCTTGCTATGAAAGTGTAAAATAATATTCCTCAAATTACCAACTTTTTCCCCTTAGCTTTTTGCATAATTCTGTATTTCTCCTGTCTTTACTCTTCCCAGAAACACTCTGCTTTGCATGCTAAACATGTGCTGAAAATTTTGTTGATTATTAAGTACAATTATACATTAAGTGAACAGAGAAGTATGTATGATTCAAAAAAAAAAAAAAAAAAAGTGTAAAATTGGCATTAAAAGAGATTATGACATGCTCCAGTAAGTTTTAGAAATAAATATTATATGTGCTTATATATGTGCGTGTATTCATGAGGAAGTCATTAAGAAATCTTTCCAAAATTCCAGGTGTTGTAAATAAAGCTTGGAACAACCTACTGGCAGGGCTTATTAACTCCATCAACATCTTTTATACAAAGAAAAATGTCCAAGTTCACAAGCCCATAAAACATTAATTGGAGTCAATAGAAAAATATCCAAGAAAAAGTGAAATATTGAAATATGCTATTTTAGGTTTTGTTCTGAATATCTTTTTTTTTTTTTTTTTTCTTCATGAATGCTTTCAGTGTTATAAAAAGTGATTGAATCAGCTGCTGCACATGTAAAATATTGACTATTTTTGACCCAAAATGAAAAGAAGCATGCTGTATGATTGTATGTGCTTTCATTTGTCCCCAGAGAAACTTGTTTACCAAAACCTGAAAGGCCAGCAAATGGTTTGGAGAATTGCTGTGAATTGATTTTGGGGGTTTGGGAGGGAGATCAGGAACAAACTGAATGTACCTGAATGGCAGAATGTTACTTCAATAATTTTTACTATATGTTACTGTGAATTTTGCTAGGGGAACAAAATTATGTTCTGGTGGTGTTGCAGCATGCAACTTAAATCTTTTGTATTCATATAGTCAGCATGTTATTTCCAGATGAATTCTGGACTTTTGGAGTTTACTGTTTTAACAAATAAAATTCAGAAATTAAAAAAAAATCTCTTTCTCACTGTCAGAACCCACAGAAACAGCATATAATAATGCTGTATCGGTGTTGGAATAATGTCAGGGAATATTCACTATAAGTACTGCATCAAATGTTATGATGCTTGAGTGTCTCAGTGCATGAAGAAAGCAACAAATTTAGAATACGTATTTGTAAGCCTTAAAAAATTTCTCCCTACTGTGGGAAAATTGTTCTCCTTATCTTCCATATGCTGAATATTTACTCAATTCAACTTACGTTTCCTAGAAGCAAATGTATTGACTGTCTTTGCATGCTCTGGGCACCTGAGAGTAATATGACTTGATCCTTTATGAGACCTAATTAATGTCCTTCTAGGCAAGTCTTCCAAAGTAGCAATTTTACAGCTAGCTTTATTATTGGTTTATTTTCAAAACAATGATGGCAAACTCTGAGGGGCCTTTTTAAAATTAGTATTTTATATTTAATGCAATATTTATTTTTATTTTATTTTAGACATTAGTGATGTAGTTGTGTGAAATTTGTACATTTCTCGTACCCAGATTTAAAAAAAAAAAAAAGCAAGTTTATAAACACCTCCCCATCCATGCTCCCTTTAAAAATATATATATATATATATGAAGAAGAAAGGAAAAAAAAAAAAAAAAAAAAAAGGAATGATTTCTGTTGTACTAGTTTTGAAATTTACCAATGAAAGAAAATAAAATGGGCCTCACTTTTCTTCTTACTTGTCCAGATGATCTAACAAAATGTCTAAAAGGAAAGCCATTTTTTTATTGTTGTAGAAATGTTTTTTTTGTCATTTTTGGTTTGTATGCCCTTGGTACTCTCATCAACATCAATTTATTGAGTATATACTAAGTCTTCAAATAGTGCTTTAAAATACTTAATGTAGTTACAATTGATGGAAAATAAAATTGTAGTGTTATAATTTTGAGGATTGCATTCTTAACATGCAGAAAAATGCTGCTTTCTCTCCTCCCCAAGCTATGCTGTATATTCATTTTACGTAATTGGTATGGTAAGGAAGTTTTTTTGTTACATCCAAGCATTCAGATTTAAGTTTTCTTTCTAAAAGGGCAGTGCTTTCCATTTGCTGGTAAAAATAGTAATTTATTGTTACCTCTTGAGAAGTAAAATTATGAAATAATAGAAATAATGAAAAATTGTGCTGAATGCGCTTTGTGCAAACAATATTTTATAACATTGTCTAGAACCTGATTTACTTGAAAACCTGTTCATTTGCCAAAGGTATTTGGTTCCCAGTAACGTTTTACAAATGGTCTTTTTTTCTGACATCTTACTTCTGGGAACAAGTAGTGGTAAGTCTGCCCCATGGGTTACTGGTAAAAGGAAGAAGAAGCAGTCTCCATTAAGAGCTAAGCCTGTATTTATGTATGTAGTTTTTATAGCCTTAGATTGGATTTATGCCAAGTTTTAATAGTTCCAGTCTACTTTGGCTTTTAAGAACTTCCTGAACAAATCCACTGTCCTGTTTTTTTAAATACTTGGTTAATTATCTAAGTATTCTGGTATGCACAGAAATTACTTTTTCTCTTTTATTTTCTCACTTGGAATTATGTGTACCGATATGGGGGAAAAAATGTATTATTTATTCTAAGAATATATTCAAATCACCTGAATGAAACATGTTCTTTTTCAAACAATCCAATTTGAGACTGAAAGTCTTAAACTTCATTCAGAAGCAGTGCCTAAAAAATCAGGGATGGAGTATTTCCTATTAGCCTTCTGAAGGTAATCTTATAAAACAGGTGTTTGGTTGTTGTTTTGTTTTGTTTTGTTTTGTTTTGAACAAAAATGAAAGGAAAAGAAAAGGTATCTTCCTGCTCTCAGTTTCTCTTCTGATGAGTATGGTGAAGAATTGTTTTGGAATGAAGACTTTTCGAAACTTTAGCATTGATGGACAAGCAAGAGCATGCAGGTGTGCAATCTGTTCTAGAGACTCCTGGACTTGGCACTCCAGTTTCTTCTTTGTTTGACTGTTTGATTACTTTGCTATTGTACTCAGTGGATTTGAGCTATTCAATTTTTAGTGATGATTTTGTCTATACAGAATGCTTTCTGGCTGATTTTCATGGTATGCCATACATGCAATCCAGCCACTGGCTGTGTAGAAGTTATGTGCTGGGCCAAGGTAGAAGTGTACTTTTTTCGAATGCATAATGAGCATCATGTGATCCAGATTTCCTAGAAGTTACAATCCAATAGGCATCTAAAGAGACTTACTACTTTCAGTGAATAGTGATGAAGATAGGAGATAGGATAACCTTACTTTCCTAAGGTTACCAAATACCAAGGAAGCTATTTGGAGAAACAGAAAGAGTAATTGTTTGTGTGATGTGTGAAAGTTCCAAACTGTCCTCCAGGGCTTTACCTGTTCTACCAGTG